CCTGGTCACTGCTGCAGGGTTCTGTCTGGTCCTGGTCTCTGCTGCAGGGTTCTGTCTGGTCCTGGTCACTGCTGCAGGGTTCTGTCTGGTCCTGGTCACTGCTGCAGGGTTCTGTCTGGTCCTGGTCACTGCTGCAGGGTTCTGTCTGGTCCTGGTCTGCTGCAGGGTTCTGTCTGGTCCTGGTCACTGCTGCAGGGTTCTGTCTGGTCCTGGTCCCTGCTGCAGGGTTCTGTCTGGTCCTGGTCACTGCTGCAGGGTTCTGTTTGGTCCTGGTTTTTGCCTCTTTAAGAAGAACTGGGAGATTTTCCCTTTTCTCTTCATTTGGGCTCTACACAAAATAAGAGCCTGGTATTTAGACTCCATGACTGTTTGGCAGACACAACACTATTTTAACTATTATTTAAATTATAGTTTTTAGTTTTCTGTAGCTAGCTAAAATAATATTAAATTAAAAATAGATTAATTAAAATTAATTAATATAACTAGTTAGGTTATAATTCAAAGCTTTCATATGACATAGCCTACTTACATTTCAGTCATTATAAAACTTAATGGTTTTCTCATATTCTTACCACACATTTCAAGCAAGAGCTGGGAGATAAAAACATTAGAGGGCAGCATGTCACTAAAACATGTTAAAAGAATCTGTCTAAAACACGATCTATTAGCACTAGCATGGCTAATATAATAAACGAGGCACTACGCAGCGGTGCACAACCATTTTGTTTCTTTTTAGAAATGTATGACAAGAGCCGCCTCTCATTAGGAAGGTAACAGCGGTTACTGCTGAGCGGTAAAATGTTGTAAATACCTGCAGAACTCCTGACGGTGTAACTCTAAATGTGTTTTGGATCAAGCAGGAACCACATGTCAGTTTAACCAATGAACAACGTCGGGCATCGGGCTGCCTTCAGGGACAGTCAGAAATTACAGTTTTCCTGGCAAATCTTTGCCGATCTCATAAGTATTATATTTTAAAATGACCATTTCCAGTGGGGTGGCAGTAGGGGTGGCCAGGGGTCTGTTGGGGGTGGCAAGTGCCACCCCGGCCACCCCTCTGGCTCCGCCACTGAATTTAACTGATCAATAAATAAAAGAGCAGAAATCAGAAGATAACATCAGATTCTCCTGATGATGCAGATAAAAAGGAAACATTATTAGAAAGTTTTATCACTTTTATTATTTTCAACAATAATTACATCCGTTTGGCATAAACACCACACACACACACACACACACACACACACACACACACACACACACACACACACACACACACACACACACACACACACAGACACACACACAGACACATACACACTCAGACACACACACACACACACACGCACACACACACAGACACACACACACACAGACACATACAAACACTTTGAACAAGGCTGGTTTGGATCTCTCACAGAACCGGACCGGTCCAGATCAGAGAGCTCCTTCAGGGGTGATCTTCACTTCCTCCAGGTCAAAGTTCAGGAGAGTTCAGGTCTTTGGGCTCCAGGGCAGCGCTACAGGTTTGGTTCCTTCACTCTTATTTAATTTGCTCTAAAGTTTTTATGTATTTATAATTAATGTCTGCAGGCTGTGAGTCCAATAAACCAAAGTCAGATTGTCAGAACTCACAACCAAAGCTGATGGGTTCCAGAGATTATTACGTTTTTCTATTTAAACTCTCAGGTTTTTTTCTGAAGGTTGAAGCTGCATTTTGATTGGCTGTTGATCTGAATGAGAACGGCTTCACCTTTTAAACTGATCAGAACCTCTAGAACCTGCAGACCTCAGGTTTGGGTCGGGCGACCCGTGATGGAGGAGCGGGGCTGAGATTAATGGCGGCAGCAGCAGCTCTGCTCATTAGTGGTTTCCCTCAGATTGATGAGTCTGATTATCTTCATAAAACGCTGCGAGAAGCGAGAAGAGGTCGGCCGGAGGAAGAACCAACTGGCAGCGAAGTCCACTTCCTGTGAGAGGAGAAGAAGAGCTGCAGCTGGTCGGACCGTCAGGCTGCAGCGTTACAGGAAAAATGAACAGCAATAATTTGGGTTATTTAGTGCAGGAGGGAAAAAATGAGGGTTAATTTTCAGTCATAGTTTCACCATGTTTTTCATTAATTTATCAATGCAGCAGTTTACCTACATCAGAACTAACAATGTTTGAAGCTAAATTTTGAACAGATCTAAATATATTTGAGTTAAATAGTTTGGAGATAAATTTCCAGGTTGCTAAGCAGCTTAATATTTGATTAGCTCTGAGCTAATCAGTTCCATCCATTATTTTATCCCGAGTGGAATAATGACAGGTGATGGTACCTGACTCCAGGGGGTCACCTGGTCGGGTCACCAGGGCGGGTCACCTGGTATGGTCACCTGGTCGGGTCACCTGGTCGGGTCACCTGGTCGGGTCACCTAGTTGCGTCACCTGGTATGGTCACCTGGTCGGGTCACCTGGTCGGGTCACCTGGTCGGGTCACCTAGTTGCGTCACCTGGTCGGGTCACCTGGTCGGGTCACCTGGTATGGTCACCAGGGGGTCACCTGGTCGGGTCACCTAGTTGCGTCACCTGGTCGGGTCACCTGGTCGGGTCACCTGGTATGGTCACCAGTGCGGGTCACCTGGTCGGGTCACCTAGTTGCGTCACCTGGTCGGGTCACCTGGTCGGGTCACCTGGTCGGGTCACCTGGTCGGGTCACCTGGTATGGTCACCAGGGCGGGTCACCTGGTCGGGTCACCTAGTTGCGTCACCTGGTCGGGTCACCTGGTATGGTCACCAGGGCGGGTCACCTGGTCGGGTCACCTAGTTGCGTCACCTGGTCGGGTCACCTGGTCGGGTCACCTGGTCGGGTCACCTGGTATGGTCACCAGGGCGGGTCACCTGGTCGGGTCACCGTTGCGTCACCTGGTCGGGTCAGCTGGTCGGGTCACCTGGTCACCTGGTCGGGTCAGCTGGTCGGGTCACCTGGTCGGGTCACCTGGTCGGGTCACCTGTCCATCAAGCTAACGATTTGGCTTGGGGATAAATATTTAGCTGCCTATCTAATTATTTTCTTATGACAAGCTTAATGATCCAAAGTTCTGCTGGTCATTGTGAGAGTGGTGCTTCACAAACAGCAGCTCCTCTAATCCAAATCCTGACCTGACAGACAGAAACAGGAACATCCTGGTTCTGACTCCTGGTTTTCTGCTCCCAGTTCACAGGAAACGTTATGGAAACTGAGTCAAGAAGTCCAAGAAACTGAGTTTTCCAATGTGACATGGAGATCCTGAATGCATCACTCAGCTGGATGAAGCTTCATGTTTGACTGCAGATTAGAGACAGCTAATTAGTTGTAATGCTGCTAATGAGAGCGTCCATGTTTACCCAGACATCAGAGCGCAGCCGGATTACAGGAGTAATCCACTGAAATCCCTCCCAACATGAACTGTTTGTCTTCCTGTGAGGAAGCTCTGTCTGCAAACACACACACACACACACACGCACACACGCACGCACGCACGCACACACGCACGCACGCACACGCACGCACACACGCACACACGCACGCACGCACGCACACACGCACGCACACACGCACGCACCAGGAGAGTCGGCCTTATAGAGACACCTACAGGTCTAGGAAGCTGATCACCAGAACCAGAATAAATGAAATGAGAAGGAAGAAGAGGAAGAGGAGGAAGAGGAGGAAGAGGAGGGCATGGTCGCTGGCCTGGTCCCAGCAGAACGTACCCGTTTGTTCGGACACATTGGGACGTGTTCAGTGATGCCTCCAGTCACAGTTTTAGCTCATAAGAAAATGCTGTGGAGGAAAACCTGCATCATGTCTGCAGGCAGGATGGGAGACATGCGCGGCTGCAGATCCATCAGAACGAATTCTGATGGAAAGGTTTCAACCTCCAACAGCAGAAACTGCTGCTGCCTCCTCCGCTTCCTCCTGTCTCTGTCTCCATGGTCACCACCTTTCCTCCCAGGTGAGATGAAGGGTTGAGGAACTGCTGCTTGTGATGACGTCTTCATGCTGTGTCTCTACAGCGAGTCGGGTGGGTCGGGTCGGGTCGGGTATAGTTCTGGACCAGAGTTCAGATGAATGTTTGCATTCTTTATAATCGTTCTGCCTGATGGCCACGCTCTGTCCCCTGATGCCTCCGGGGGTCAAAGGTCAGAGCAGCAGCTCCTGAAACAGAGCTGTTCACTAGTACGCAGTCGGCTCCCAGCAGAACCAGAACCAGAACCTGGCCTCTGCCTGCAGGCCGTTGCTCTGACAGGAAGCTGCGTGAAAGAGGAGAGAGGAAAACCTTCCCTCAGTCCGCTTCCTGATTAATATCCATCCGCTTAGAGAAATTAAAATGAAGGAAATAATCTTAAAGCAGCAGAGATTAGATCCATCAGGTTTATAAAATGTTTATGACACATTTCCATGACGTTATTCAAATTAATTTCCATTTCTCTGGATTTAACCTGAACTAGAAAATTAAAGTTTACAAAAAAAATAATTTTTTCACTAATTTCCTCAGAAATACATAATTTCTGAGCTGATCATTTTTCTGTTTTGTTCTTGGTTTATTCACATCCAGTCCGCATCACAGAGGACCAGAGCAGCAAACTGGAAATAACTGGCCTGTGTTGTACTGCCACCTACCGGCGGATCCCAGCACCACAATAAATATATACATATATTTATGCGACAGACTGGCGACCTGTCCAGGTGACCCCGCCTCTCGCCCGGAACGCAGCTGGAGGGGCACCAGCACCTCCCGACCCCGTTAGGGAGAAGGGTCCTCAGAAAATAGATGGATGGATGGATGGATGGATATACACATATACATTTATATAGGGAGAGAGAGTCATAAGATGAAAGTGTCTCCACAGATATCAAATCAACGAACCTACAAGAAAAAGCTGCTGAATTTACCTGCTCAGGTTTCGGTTTTATTTTGAAAAGCTCGGAAACGAACAGCTTTGTTTCAACTGCTTTTATTGTGAAAGGTCTAAGCGGAAGCTCGTTAGCGGCGGATGCAGCAGCTAGCTAGTTCTGTGAGGTTCGGTTTAGTGCAGTCAGAACCAGAGAACCATGGCCTACCAGCTGTACCGGAACACCACGCTGGGGAACAGCCTCCAGGAGAGTCTGGACGAGCTCATCCAGGTGACACCGAGCGAACTCACCGAACCGCGGCGCGGTGAGGCTCCGGATGTCGGGTCGGAGCCGACATCCGGATGTCGGGTCGAGGCTAACAGCTACTGTTAGCTTCGGCTGATCTCGCTGTGTTCTGGGTCAGAACCGGTCCGTAGAAGGATTTAGATCTGTTGACAGTGACATAGAAAATAACGTCCGAACTGGATTTAAACCAGTTAATGTTGAACTGATTTGAAACTGGTACCATGAACTCCTCTGCTGCGGTCCGGTTCGGCTGAAAAGCTCCATTTTGGTTCTGTTTTTTGGATTAAATCTGAGACTGAGTCCGGTCCTGGTCAACCCGCAGTTTGTTGGTCAGTTTCTGTTATTAATAGCAAACGGGTTATGCTCCTAGAAGTTCTGTTTTATCGGCTTCGGATCAGTTCGGGTCCATCGGGACCGGACTATTATCACCGCCTATGCTTAAGAAAATATTTAGCCACTCGGATTTTCTGTCTTTATCTTCAAAGTTCGGTTTCAAACCCGGATCTTTGCTTTTTCACTGATAAATGAGCCAACAGCATCAAGCTGTGTCGGCTCTGTTAAGAAAACTACAAGTCCCATGATGCAATGCGCTCCATTCTGATTGCTCTGCAGACTTCTGCCCTGTTAACTTTCCTTCTTTTACCAGCAAGTTTTATTATATTGGAGATTAATCTACAAACATAACGATAGCCCACACACACAATGTGGAATTGCCGTGACATAAAAATTAATAATAAATCAATTTTGGACATGATTGGCTAGAACGAGGTGTTTGGTCTGTCATGCATTTATTAAATAATGGAGATATAATGTCTTTTGAAGACTTCAGTGTGAAATTTGACCTGCACATAAATAAAAGTGAATTTCAAAAGATTATTAGAGCTGACATCTTTTCTATGCATTGCAAATCTTTGTGGGATGATGTTCACTACTGGCTTTGCCCTAAAATTCCTAACTTACCTAGATTTTCTAAGAAAGACATTATTTTTGGGAGTCTGGGAAAAGAAAAGAAATTTGAAAGGCTACTAAATGTAATAATTATGGGAAGTTTTTCATAATATTTTTCTCTATGAATTTTTACTTCTCATTTAAACTTTTTGAATAAAATTTTTTCCGCTCCAAATTTTGACGTTTCCTTCTTTAAATTCTGACTTTTTAATTTTAGATGGTTTTTTTTCCCCTCTGAATTTTGACAATTTTCTCCTGAATATTTAATTTCTGAATTTCTTTATTTTCTCTGTCCAGTGGCTCGGGTTGCAGTCTGTCAGTAGCTGTAGGTTCTGTGATCATCTGTTTTTCCAGCAGAATAAAAATCTGATTAAAGTTGAGGAGCAGATCTTGTTCTGGAACAAGCAAATCTTCCTGATCCAGATGGCCTCAGATGGTTCTGATAGTTCTGATGCTCCCAGACGGTTCTGATGGTTCTGTTCTGTGTGCTCAGACCCAGCAGATCACCCCCCAGCTGGCCCTGCAGGTTCTTCTCCAGTTCGATAAAGCCATCAACGCAGCGCTGGCCAGCCGGGTCCGGAACCGGGTCAACTTCAGGGTGAGTCTACGCTCTTGTGTGTCTGGTCCGGAACCAGAACCAGGTCTGAACCGGGCCTCCTGTTTCTCCTCAGGGTTCTCTGAACACCTACCGGTTCTGCGACAACGTTTGGACTTTTGTTCTGAACGACGTGGAGTTCAGGGAAGTCACAGAGCTGGTCAAGGTCGACAAGGTGAAGATCGTCGCCTGCGACGGAAAGAGTGAGTTCGAGCAGAACCGCACCAGAACCTGAGAATGAGTCCAAATCCCAGATTAGCTGCAGGTTAACAGCAGCAGAACCTCAGCTGGCCCGACCCACTCAGCGACTGAAACTAGACGAGTCGGCTTCAGAGAAAGTCTGACATTGAGCCCGGTCCTTTTTACTAGACCTGACAATTCTATCAGAACCACCAGAGCAGCAGGTCAAATAACAGCTGCAGCACCAAGTGAAACCAGCAGGCGGAGTGCTGCTCCACATGTCCCAGAAACGCCGTCAAGGGGACGCACGCTGCGTCCCGTGACAGGATGATGGGACACTGCGTGTTCGGGACTGTAGTCAGACTGTCTTGGTTCTGCTGTAAACATTTTCCTGTCTCCCCTCCTCAGATTCGGGCTCCAACGCTGCAGAGTGATCCTCCATGGACTGTACAGATAACTTATACAGCACAGTTACACCTGTGTGTGTGTGTGTGTGTGTGTGTGTGTGTGTGTGTGTGTGTGTGTTTTTTATTCCCGTCAGGAGAAGTGTGTTTAATTTCTTGAATCATCTTTAATAATAAAAGTTGATGGAAAGCTGCTGTAGACTCCTGGCTCCTTTCTGTACACTAGACCCGGCTGCGTGGTTCTGGGTTGGGGCGAGCATTGTCATATTATTTATCGGAAAAACAATTCTTATCAAAATTGCGGTTCATTGTGTCTTAATGTTAAATAAAAAGCAAATGGATTTATCCATCTTTGTTCTGGGAGGCTTACTGGGAAAACGATGACGAGTCTAACTTCCGGCGCCCACCGGAAGTAGCCGTATTTCACTAATTTGTAGGGTTTTTTTGGTAGTCTATACTCATGATGGAAGTAACATCTTTTTTCAGTTATAATACAATATTCAATCTTGTTCACGGACACCGTCTGCTGTGAGAGAGCTGCTCAGCACAGAGTTTCGTAATGGTGAGTTTATTCACGGGGAGCGACAGGAACAGATCATTAGGTTTTGTAGCAGAATGAGGTGAGTTAGCATCGCTGCTAGTGTAGCTGAGTTGATTTTATTTACTTATTTTTTAAAAAATGATTGTGAACCTTCTCAAAACACTTTTTGTTGAATTGACATGTCTGTTGTTTTTGGTTCCTGATGTTGTTTTGGGAGGGTAGTTATTGATGTTACACAGAGTGGGTTCTGTGAGGCAGCTGCAGCAGCCAGGCAGAAGCTGCCAACACAGCTGCTGGTAAGACGTGCTAATGCTACCTTCCACTGTTTATTATGTTTATAATTGTTTTCACATTTTTGTATTGCATAAATTAAAATGTTAATTGTTTTATGTGTCTTAAAAAAAGACTTTAGGTTCCGTTAGAATTAAGCTGTTGCCCTTTAAAGTTGTTAAAAGTTTTTCCCTCCAAAATGTTTGTAGAGCTGCTGGGATCTGACTGTATGTGTCACACCGATGGTTGAGTGTGTCCCATGTTGTGTTACAGAAATAAACTGACAGATCCTGAGTCCCGTGTGCTCCATTTTGCAACTGTTACACTAGCAGACAGCATAAAACTACAGAATATCAGCTTGCTGTGATTTTTGTTTTTTATTTGAAGTAAATAAAGTTCAATGATCTGAGTCTTTACCATTATAATTGGACCAGCAAATTTATTTATAAGACAAATATTTGGGATCATTTAGTCCATCAGAACCTCGAGGTTCCGGTTGCTGCAAATCAGCGCAGAAATGACCGCAGTTGCTGCACTGCAGACCCGCTGGACCAGAACCGAACCATACATTAACCTGTAAATAGAGGGCAACTTGCCTGTGGAGCTCAGGTAACTTTATGCTGTTCGTGGCTGTTCTCTAATAATCAGACCAAGTTTAGTTTATGGCAGCAGGTGTAAGCAAACTAAATAATTTAGCTAAAAATTCTAATCTTGGAGAGAGAACCCAAAATGCTTCATGTGCTCATTTCATTGTGTGGATAGAAAACCCGCATCTGCATCCGGAACAACAGAGTCAGTGAAGTAGCTAACTATGCTAGTGCGGGGAGCTAACTATGCTAGTGACAGTCGAACCTGTCACTAGCATAGTTATAATTATCCGACAAGAAACTGAACACGAATCAATCTTTGTTTTTGTACCACTGTGTTTACAAATCTTTAAAATCTTTTAAACTTTATTTCAGTTTCTGATCCTGCAGCGCCCTCTTCTGGATGGACATGAAGCGAGCAGCAGAAATCAGCTGATCAGAACGGTTTGTGTCGGAACCCAACGGACCAATCAGAAGCCTCAGAAGGTTTCCAAAGGCTTCCATGGTAACAGGCGGTTTAAACTCCTGCTGAGGCGTCATCCTCCTCCTCCGCTGCCACAGCGCCCCCTGGTGTTGGGGTCATTCTGTTTCCCGCTGCTGCTCAGGCTCCTCCCCGCGCGGTGGCCCCGCCCCCTCCGGTGTGGGAACAGCTGAGTTGGTCAAGCGGAGCTTCTTGCTGACCCGACCGGAAGCCGCGTTCCTCTCGTCGGACTGAGTGACGTAATGAAGCTGCGTTGACAGCCGATGGCTGACGGTCCCAGCGCCTCGCCTCCGTCGCCCCGCCCATCTCTGACGTGGTCGCAGGTTCGAGGGGCGGAGCCATACAAGTCTAAGGGGGGAAAACAATGACGTCATTAACAAGCTCTCAGCCCACCTGTGCTCTCTGGCGCCACCAGGTGGCTCCTCTAGGAAGGCCCATGGGCTGAGGGGCTTGGGTCTGAAAACAGGCATCATGGGAAATGTAGTCACGTGTTTTAAAGCGTTTTGTGATGAAGCTGACAGAGGATGAAACAGCAGCAGGTCTGAAACGAGCTGAATGTCAACATTAACAATGTGAATCTGCTGCTGCGTTTCCAAATGTGTGGGAGAACAAATATGTCTTTATTACATGTTGAATAAACTGTGCAGCATATCAACATGCCTCCAATCCGACCAGTTGTTTCTCTAATGGACATAAATACAGATGTTTAATGCAGGTGAAGTCGAACTGATTCCATCTTCTGCAGGTAAATATTTCCAGAGCCAATAAGTGGATCAGATTGAGTTTGATCCATTTCTTGGTTCTGCTGCTCGGCTCTCTGGGGAATCTGACAATTTGACTTGCAAATATTTAGTCTGTCCATGAATATATCAGAAGCTCATATTGAGAGCTGCAGAGGGAGTCGGATATTTTCATGAATTCTTTTTGAAAGCATTTCTGGTTCTGGTTTCTCTTCCTGCTGAGCCTGTTTGACCCACAGAACCAGTCTGACCTGGGCGGCTCTGCAGCTCCCCCTGTTGGCCCTCAGAGGAACTGACCGGCTCAGCTGGACCTCCTCCAGGACGAAACTCTGCAACAGAAAAAGGTCCAAACTAAATAGGACCGGATTCCCCAGGTTCTGCAGAACCTTCTCCGGATCAGACGTGTCACCTCTCTCGTCCTTCTGGATCTCTCCAATCATCGGGTTCTCCTTCACCTCCTCCAGCTTCACCTGCAGACCGGGTCACATTCGGTTAGTCGGTTCCTGTTGGAGTTCTGCAGCCGATCGGCGGTTCTGCTGATCTTACCACTCGGATGAGAGCTGACAGCCGTTTCTCTGTCTCTGAGTCCTGGAGCTCAAACGAGTTTCTGAAACCCAAACAGATGATCACCTCTGCTCCAGACCTGACCCCATGGATGGACATATTGTGGTTCTGGTGCCAGATTTCAGGAAAAGCTTCTGATCCACTGTTGTGGGCAGTTTGTAAATATATACTAATTAACAGCAATAATTTGGATCATTTAGCCTGTATAACAGAAAAAACTGAGGTAAATTTATTATTTCCACCATGTTGTTCATTCATTTATAAATGCCACAATTCTAAACTAAATATTTAGTTAGCAAGGTTACTAAATATATAACTGGAAAAATACATATATGTATTTTAATGACAGGCTAAATGAACTACATTATTGGTGTTTGTGTAACAGTATAAACGGTTCCCATCATTCCATAACTGCATTGAGATGCATCAGACTGTCTGTCTGCGTCTCAATGTGTCTCACTGCGTCTCAATGTGTCTCACTGCGTCTGTCTGCGTCTCAATGTGTCTCACTGCGTCTGTCTGCGTCTCAATGTGTCTTACTGCGTCTGTCTGCGTCTCAATGTGTCTTACTGCGTCTGTCTGCGTCTCAATGTGTCTCACTGCGTCTGTCTGCGTCTCAATGTGTCTCACTGCGTCTGTCTGCGTCTCAATGTGTCTCACTGCGTCTGTCTGCGTCTCAATGTGTCTCACTGCGTCTGTTTCAGAGTGTTTGTGTTCAGGCTGCAGAGCTGACCTGTTGCAATCGCTGCAGAGAGCAGTGAGGAAGATGGAGAGGAGGATGAGAAGGATGAGGAGGAGGAAGAGTCCTGGTGTCAGGAACCATGACCCGGTTGCATCTGGTCCCACTGCCGCCATGGAGGATTCCTGGGTCAAACCCTGGAATGAACCCAACAGGAACCAGGAAGTTGAGCACTGAGCTTTCGACCAGAACCAGGAAGTTCTGTTCAGTGAGAACGGAACCAGAGATTACTACTGGAATGGTTCTGCTTGTTGTGGTTCTGCACAGAAACCAGAACCCGAAACATCCACTGTGCTTCAGAAACATCAGATTCCACAACCGTTCTGACTCAACAAGCTCCTCACCTGGATCACAGGTGAACCAGAGGTGGAGCAGTGAATATAGAAACCTCAGCCGGGTCCGTCAGAACCATTTGGACCTTCTTTCATAGATAACAGTGACTCACCAGTCTGTGTTCTGACGCAGATTACTTAAAGATGTCGACCATGTTGGAAATAATCCCGAGGTTCTGGAGAGAGGCTGTGAATCGTAGCGTTTGGGTCGGGTTCTGCCCAGGTGAACTGATGGTTCTGGTTCCTATAAGAGAAGTGCGCCAGCATGCAGCTGTAAATGAAAATGAGTTTGTTTCTGTTTCCTGCAGCATGCAAATCCTGGGCGAGTCAGTCCCGACCCGACCGACGCCTCTCAGGACAAAGCCGGCTCTGTCAGAACCTTCAGAGTTCTGATCGGACCTTTAACGGGTCAGACCCTCCCACATCCTGATTGGACCTCTTATAGCTCATGTTTACACTGAGGAGGTACCGGGTGTGTTCAGCCCGACTCGCCGTGTTTGACTTTCTGGGTGTTTCCACCTCCGACGGTTCAGCGGATCAGATGACAGACCGGTTCTGTCCGACTGGGCCGATCAGAACCCAGAGAGACCAACACATTCTGAAACCGTTCTGAACCGGGTTCCTCACAAAACTTCAAACCTGCAGGAGTAGCAACTGAAAGACGAATCAAACTGCTGAGTTTAGAGAGAGACGATTAAAACTGGGACTAACTGGGACTAACTGGGACTAACTGGGTCTAACTGGGACTAACTGGGTCTAACTGGGACTAACTGGGTATAGCTGGGACTAACTGGGTCTAACTGGGACTAACTGGGTATAGCTGGGACTAACTGGGACTAACTGGGTCTAACTGGGTCTAACTGGGACTAACTGGGTCTAACTGGGACTAACTGGGTCTAACTGGGTCTAACTGGGACTAACTGGGTCTAACTGGGTCTAACTGGGACTAACTGGGTCTAACTGGGACTAACTGGGTCTAACTGGGACTAACTGGGACTAACTGGGTCTGACTGGGACTAACTGGGTCTGACTGGGTCTAACTGGGTCTGACTGGGACTAACTGGGTCTGACTGGGACTAACTGGGACTAACTGGGTCTAACTGGGTCTAACTGGGACTAACTGGGACTAACTGGGTCTAACTGGGACTAACTGGGACTAACTGGGTCTAACTGGGACTAACTGGGTCTAACTGGGACTAACTGGGACTAACTGGGTCTAACTGGGTCTGACTGGGTCTAACTGGGACTAACTGGGTCTAACTGGGTCTGACTGGGTCTAACTGGGTCTAACTGGGACTAACTGGGACTAACTGGGTCTAACTGGGACTAACTGGGTCTAACTGGGACTAACTGGGACTAACTGGGTCTAACTGGGACTAACTGGGTCTAACTGGGTCTAACTGGGACTAACTGGGTCTAACTGGGACTAACTGGGACTAACTGGGTATAACTGGGACTAACTGGGTCTAACTGGGACTAACTGGGACTAACTGGGTCTAACTGGGACTAACTGGGACTAACTGGGTCTAACTGGGACTAACTGGGTCTAACTGGGACTAACTGGGACTAACTGGGTCTAACTGGGACTAACTGGGACTAACTGGGTCTAACTGGGACTAACTGGGACTAACTGGGTCTAACTGGGACTAACTGGGTCTAACTGGGACTAACTGGGACTAACTGGGTCTAACTGGGACTAACTGGGACTAACTGGGTCTAACTGGGACTAACTGGGTCTAACTGGGACTAACTGGGTCTAACTGGGACTAACTGGGTCTAACTGGGACTAACTGGGTCTAACTGGGACTAACTGGGACTAACTGGGTCTAACTGGGTCTGACTGGGTCTAACTGGGACTAACTGGGACTAACTGGGACTAACTGGGTCTAACTGGGACTAACTGGGTCTAACTGGGACTAACTGGGTCTAACTGGGTCCAACTGGGACTAACTGGGTCTAACTGGGACTAACTGGGACTAACTGGGTCTAACTGGGTCTGACTGGGTCTAACTGGGACTAACTGGGACTAACTGGGTCTAACTGGGACTAACTGGGTCTAACTGGGACTAACTGGGACTAACTGGTTCTGACTGGGACTAACTGGGTCTGACTGGGTCTAACTGGGACTAACTGGGTCTAACTGGGACTAACTGGGTCTGACTGGGACTAACTGGGACTAACTGGGTCTGACTGGGTCTAACTGGGACTAACTGGGTCTGACTGGGTCTAACTGGGACTAACTGGGTCTGACTGGGTCTAACTGGGACTAACTGGGTCTAACTGGGTCTAACTGGGACTAACTGGGTCTAACTGGGACTAACTGGGTCTAACTGGGTCTAACTGGGTCTGACTGGGTCTAACTGGGACTAACTGGGTCTGACTGGGTCTAACTGGGACTAACTGGGTCTAACTGGGTCTAACTGGGAGGATCAAACTGACTCAAACAGCTGATCGACTGGAGATCAAGCATCTATAATCACATCCTGTCATCTCTGCGACCTTTGCCCTCTGTGACCTCAGAGAGAGAGGCTGGAAGGTTAGTTTGAAAACAGCTTTGAAAACGGCAATTATCAAACCGATGGTAAAGAAGAACAACCTGTACAAATCACTATTGCAGAATTACAGGCCGACCTCTGACCTCCCATTCATCAGCAAACTTATTGAAAAAACTGTGTCAACAATTAAATAGTTTCCTCATGATGACCGACTGCTTTGACTCTTTCCAATCTGGTTTCCGTGCTCACCACAGCACGGAGACTGGCCTAGTCAAAGTATTCAATGACATCCATATAAATACGGACTGTGGCAGAACCACGGTGCTGGTTCTGTTGGACCTCAGTGCAGCTTTTGACATATTACTGAATCGACTGGAGAGGAACAAGAAGAACAGGAATTTCTTGTTTCAATTGGAAACTTCTCATTAAAGAGGTCAAAGGTCACATGTGGGGTATCCCAAGGTTCAATCTTAGGACCCCTCTTATTTAATATTTATATTCTCCCACTAGCTCAGGTTATAACAGGAAATAATATTGGCTACCATAACTATGACACACAGCTCTACATTATGATGTCACCAGGTGACCTTTGACCCCATCCAATCACTGCATAAATGCTTAGAACAGATAAATGTGTGGATGTGCCAAAACTTTCTCCAGCTGAACGAAAACAAAACTGAAGTCATTATTTTTTAACCTAAAGAGGAACGATCTAGAGCTATAGATCTAGAGCTATAGATCTAGAGCTCTAGATCTAGAGTTATAGATCTAGAGCTATAGATCTAGAGCAATAGATCTAGAGCAATAGATCTAGAGCTCTAGATCTAGAGTTATAGATCTATAGATCTAGAGCTATAGATCTAGAGTTATAGATCTATAGCTCTAGATCTAGAGTTATAGATCTAGAGCAATAGATCTAGAGCTCTAGATCTAGAGCTACTCTAGATCTATAGCTCTAGATCTATAGCTCTAGATCTAGAGCTATAGATCTAGAGCTATAGATCTAGAGTCAATGCACAGCTTCAGTTATTACAACTAAAAACTAGCGATCAGCCTGAAACCTGGGAGTAGTGATGGACTCGGACCTGAACCTTGCGAGCCACATAAAGACAGTAACAAAGTCGGCCTTCTATCACTGAAGAACATCTCCAGGATTAGAGGACTAATGTCTCAGCCAGATCTAGAGAAACTCATCCCTGTGTTTATCTTTAGTCGCATGATTATTGTAACAGCGTCTTCACAGGCCTGTCCAACAAATCAATCCTCCAGCTGCAGCTGATCCGAAGCTGCTGCTCCTGTTCTCACTAAAACCAGGAAGATAGAGACATAACAGCAGTTTTAAAGTCCCTCCACTGGCTCCCTGTAGCTCAAAGAATAGATTTTAAAATACTGTTGTTAGTTTATAAATCACTGAAAGGTTTAGCACCACAATACATCAAAGATCTGCTGTTGTTGTATCAACCTTCCAGACTCTCAGGTTCTGGTTCTGGTTCTGATCTGCATCCAGAACCAGAACCAAGAGAGGAGAAGCAGCTTTCAGCATCTATGCACCAAACATCTGGAACGAACTTCCAGAAAACTGCAAAACATCAGAAACCCTGACTTCTTTTAAATCTCAATTAAAAACACATTCTGTTTAGAATTGTTTTTGAAATGTAATATGTAACAATGTATTGTTTACTATATGACTTTGTGTTTATGATGTAAAGCACTTTGAAATGCCTTGCTGCTGAAATGTGCTATACACATAAAATTTGATTGATTAGTTTAGAACAGATCAGTGTTTACTGGTCTCCAGTTCCAGTTAAACAGGCAAACTGGTTTCTAATCTTAGGTAAACTGGTTACGGAGAAGTTAAAGTCCAAACCAACTTGAGTTCTGGGAGTTCTGGTTCTGCTGGACTTCCTGCTCCACATTTGCAGAGCGACTGAGAGCAAACGGGTCACACCAAAACACACACACACCGACACACGGTGGATCTTCCTCCTCCTCTTCCTCACTGCAGAACCAATCATCCGAGTTTTATTGAGTCTGAAAACAGACCAGTCACCTGGTTCTGCTCCGGTCGCCTGGTTCCGACCCGGCTGGGCGTTGTGGGTTTTGTGGCGCCGCCTGCAGCTGAGAAGCTGCTGGAAGTGTTATCTGCCAGTTGGGCTCTGTTCCCCGTCGTCCATCACGGTTCTCATATTTCCCCCAAATTACAACAACAAACTCAATGAAAGATTTAAATGATGATGACTTAAATGATTCTAACGCGGCGCTCCATCAGGTTATTATATCAGTTATTAATTAACCTGATTAATGCTTTTT